AAGGATTTCGGTACACGGCTTCCACGCACTAACTGCTTTTTGAGATGGAATCTTATTTATACTTACTGTTTTAACTTATTATTTACTGCCTACTTTTTTTAACGGCAGGGTATACATTGCGAAATATAACTTCAATGATGCTGAGATACAACTACAACGTTGCTGAGATATTTGCAATACTCTAGACCGCAGGTGTTTATGGTGGGGAACGAACGCGCTATTGTTCTTTCCGGGGAGTAACGCGTTCACCACCACACCATGCGGGTCCTTCGTTTCGTCCGTCTCTCAGCTATTTCTATCGATCTTTGCCACAGCAATCACCCGTCAGCGGGATTGTGGTTGTATTTCGCTTACTACCCTGCAGCGAAATTATAGTAGGCAGAAAATAAAAAGGTATAACATTGTGATTTCAACTACAGCCGCAGGTTAACTGGGTTCTATGCCGATTTGGGTGCCCCAGATCAATCCCGCTGACGGGTGATTGCTGTGGCAAAGATCGATAGAAATAGCCTGAGAGACAGGCGAAACGAATAACTCGCATGGTGTGGTGGTGAACGCGTTACTCCCCGGAAAGAACAATAGCGCGTTCGTTCCCCACCATAAACACCTGCGGTCCAGAGTTTTGCAAATATCTCAGCAACGTTGTGGTTGTATCTCAGCATCTTTGAAGTTATATTTCGCAATGTATACCCTGCCGTTGAAAAGAGTAGGCAGTAAATAATAAATTTAAATTATCTACATGTCAAGTGGGTGAGAAATTTCAAGCTAAAAATCCTGTTCATTATTGACGAAATATTTTAGTACATGAGGGTTACCTTGAAACTCGTACTGTTACTTTGGAGTCGCCCATGAAGCTTATTTAAGCTGTTGTTTGACTCGTCCTATAAGCGAAAACCTTGGTAAGGTAGTGCGATTGTAAAATTTATGTGAATACACGCTTTCCTTTAGTATGTACGTTGCTTAATGGGCTGGTTCTAGTTTCAAAATAGTTAAATGTGCTTCCGTAAAAAATCCTCTATCAGAGAATTGGGCAAGCTCCTTAACTTTCTCCATTTAACTGGTGTACTGACGATTTGCACGACTTTTCTTCCCAATGTTCTGAGAAATTCGAGCCATAGCGTCGCGTGCTCGTTATCGTAGGCAGCCACCGACCTTTATAGATAGCAAGGAGGTTACTACCTTGGAATTCGGGTTCCTTCAGCACTAAATCCTTGTAGTATTTGTTAGCTCTTAGGGTTTCAGATGAAAATGTCCCAGTACTCAAGATTTATGGTGCTGCTTATACTTCGCTATTCTACGCGTAAAAACTATGAAGCGGTAAGGTACAGTGGAAGGAAGTAGTTTATATTCCACTTAAAAATATCCGTTTTTAAACATTTTGTAAAGCAATTCTTTACACCGTAAATTACACAAAGTTGGTAGTGAGAAGCCTCGTTTGTTCATGTGAGACACCGTTTAAAATTTGCCAGTTTTTTGGCTTTTTGTAGGATCAAGCGTCAAAAAAGACCATTGTATTAAAGAAAGTGGAGAGGAAACCAATAAAGAAACGACTTGTGGAAACATTGAATTTGAATTGCAGGCAGTTATTAGAGCAAACTGTTTCCGCTTTTGTGATCAGTTTTTTTCTTTGTCTTTTTCATTTGTACTGTTGTATAGCCATAATGTTTACATTTGTGCCTAAATAGATGCTGCGACTACCGTTCTGCAAACTTCAGCACTATTCCGGTTTTTGTGACCGTATTACTAATTCCATTATTTTAAGTGTTTTTTCATGCTCTGTGATTTATCCCAGCTAATCCGACTTTACCTCTGGTACAGCTGGCTAAAGCGAATGGCAAACCTAGTCGCCCATCTTTTAGGTGTTCTGTTATGATCCTCATGGTTAGGTGTCTTCTTATGATCTGGGCTTCTTTTTCCTCACTATACCATGATTTTCCAATTTGTTCTGAATGTATTTTCTACTTAGTCAGGAAATCACATTATTTCTCTATGTGTCAAAGGACTTCGAGGTCGATCTCCATTGTGCATATATACAGTGTGTACTATAGTACAAATGGTTTGGGATGGCTTTATAGTGGACGGACACTAAAGGCACAGATTTGCTTTCCCATTTTGGCTGTAGATTTCACACCGAAATGTTTTAGATCGCACTGTTAAGGCAATGGTTGAGTAGTCGTTACTGGGCCAAGTAGTATAGTGGTTAGTACTCCCCGTCGTGGCCGTGGCGACACGTTCGATTCCTGTCTTGGGCGTGCTTTTGTAAAGGATGGAGAGGAAAGGCACTGAGAAAGCCTGACATGATAGTCATCCATTTTGCTCTTAAATGTTGAAGACTACGATGTCCTCTGGATACAAGGTGCTCAACTATTGGCAGGCGTACTAAGGTATCTCGTTCTCATCGTTATGGTCGTAGGCTCACTAGTTCGAACCCTGCATTTTGGACGGTTTTGTAGTGGGTGGAGACCGAAGGCACAGATTCAGTTTTTTGCGTCAGTCGTACATTTTACACTGAAATGTTTTACACTGCAGTGTTCTCGCCATAGTGGATGACTAGCTATTAACTAAGCTAAAAGTCCTATGCATTGTTAGTAACATTTTTCAGTACATGAAGAATATCTTCAAACTCATAGTGTTACTTCGCAGTCGTCCATGAAGCTTATTTAAGTCGCTGTCTCTTGTGTTTTGCGTTGCTCGTCCTGGGAAGAAAAATCATTGGGAGAGTAGTTTTGTGACAAAATTTACGCGCATACACGTTTACATTTAGTATCTGCGTTACATATTGGGGTAGCTCTAGTTGCAAAATACTTTATCCTGCTTTCAGGTGAAAATGTTGTAGTGCTCGAGATTTATGGTGCTACCCATGCTTTGCTCTTCGACACCTTGAAACTATGAGGCAGCAAGGTACTGAGAAGAGGTAGTTTAGATTGCAGTTAAAAATACCCGCACGTTTATACATTTTATATAACAGTGCTTTAGCCCTGTATAAAAAAGCACTGCCGAATGAGTACTGCTTATTCGTGCGGTGTTCACCAAAGAAGACCCTCTCTCGGTACGACAATGGAGGCGCCACATCGAGATCACGAACAATTGTGGACCACCGACACGAATTATCGGCTCTAATGAAGACGAAGAAGTTGAAACGTTAGCCGAAATAAACCGATTTATTAACCCCTTGTAAGCGCGACAATATAAATACATAGTGATTTTAGAAGAAAAGTTATAAATCGGTGATAGTGAATGCTATAGGATAGTGATAGCAATACGTCTTTTCCAGCTGAATGACCCTGGCATACTCAAACATAACAACTGGTACTAAAAAACATCGCTTTAAACCATTAATGCTTTGCTTTGCTGCTTAAATTGAAGGGACATTGTCTATCATCGTCCTCGGCGATGATGAGCAGCGTTCAGAACTCGGCCAGTTTATCGATATATAGAAGATATTTCGCTCCCTGCTTTATTTTTTCAAGCTGCTTGTCAACAAGTGACTTTATAGGAATCCTCTTTATTTTTCGTTATCATAATTCGTATTTTAGTTTTCCGTTTCTCATGCACAATAACTATATTTAATGGACTCAAAATGGACTCGAAGGAAATGAAGGACAAATACCAATCACCAAAGCCAGCACATGTATGGCGCTCACTTTCCTTTTCTAAAAAAGTGCTGCTTAGTTATCCACTTACTTTCACACGATGCTATGTTCTCACCGAGAATTGTGGTTACTTCAAAACGAACTATTTCTACAAAACATGGCAGAATTGGATCAACGATTTAAACTCGATCTACGTTCGAAGAATCATAAAAAATTTCACGAACGAGTCTACACAATGCGTCAAATGTTAGTCAACTTAAAATTTACTTTCACCTTTGGAAAAACACTTATTTGAGCGTCTCAATGACGATTTCAAGCATCCGAGGTTTCGAGTCATACTCTTACCTCAGCAGCGCTGTGGCTGTTAGAAAACGGTTGATCCATTATTTCTGACTAACAAATGTAGAAACATTGAGAAAACATGTTTTCGGAAAGCATAAGCATCTTAACCTAAGAAATATAGGTAATCTAGAAAAATAAACTATATCCACCATGAAGATGTGGTGAATACTGAAACTAGTAAGCTATGAAATATAGCAACAATGAACTGGGCTACACTTAATGAACACTACGCTTAGTTGAGCTGAATCAACGATCACTCCCTTTTACATCATCGTTCTTTGCATATCCGATAAAAAGGATACACTAAATGGGGTGAGAATGATGTACAAGCTAGTTATTTGCAATCCATTTGTGATGTACGATGTGCGGCAGTAATCCATCCACCATTTAAGTCACTCCACCTCAGAGCAGCGGTAAACCCGTCGAGAATCTCAGTTCAGATTTAGCTTTTATTTAAACTTTTACCTTAACCTGACGCGAGGTTGGTACACATCTTCGTTGTCTTCCCGCACATAACATCACGGCTCTGAGGAAGGCGAAGTCGCCGAAACGTCAGCCATCGACCAGCAACATCAAAAACAACGACAACGACAACGAAGATCTGTACCAACCTCGGGTCAGCTTAAAAAGATCAGTTTATAAGTTCACATAAATAAATATATCAACTATCTATGCTGAAACTCCCACAACAGACTTTCTATTAACCTCGGCATTGATCAAGTGTATATTTTATTGTTTTGAGTCTCCTATTTGAAAAAGAAGAAGTGTGAATTAATTTGGTTCATCCAGCTAGGGTTAAGTCTGCTTTTGTCGACGTTGTCCTCAGCTGTCATAAATAAGCTTTTAATAACGGTTTGGTCATCATATAGCAATTGATTTTTAACGCTTTTGGCTCGTTTACAGTTAAGTACCTTGCCTAATTTTTGAGAAATCAACTGATGTGTGTCGTTGAGACGTCTACTACTAAATGATACAACAATACCGTTTTAGACACGATAGTCTGTCACATTCCTCTCACTTACCTCATGTGCTCGACGTTTCCGACTTGCAGTTGACGGTTAAAAAATGTTCACGAGCGGGCCAGGTGTTTATGAGAAGACATATTTATGGTATAATTCAAAAGCTGTATCGGTTGGCAAACTTTTCGAGGTTAAAGAAAAGTAAAACTACTAAAAAATTTGAGCTTTTATATTGCAACTGTCCACATTACAATACGGATACCACACCTACTTGGATACTTCAGTGACACATCTTCGCGAGTTACGAAGATTAGTACAGTTCTCATCAGAATTCTATTTCACAGATGGTATTAAAGCGATTACAGATGATATTGGAGACAGAGGTTAGGATTAATTTTGAGTTCTACCTGATTTATTAATCAGTATATACTATGTTGAAGTATCATTCTTCTAAAATGTTATAAACCACATTTGTATCCCACCTCACTTTTCGGACACTTGTCGAGCTATTTCGCTTAGTCTTTGCATTTCAAGCATTAACTGTTGTTCTTTCAAATGGTTTATGGAATATTTTATGCTACGTTTTCTTTAACTTCGTCATCATCTCACAAATTTCTATTCCAGATAAGTTTTTAGATGGGCGAAGCGAGAAGATATATTTGCTAGTTAAGTTTCGCTTTTTAGAAAATCGTCATTTGATAGTACTCACTTCCATGTTAACGGTTTTGCACTGTTTTTTGCTCGAAATGAGCCCTACGTAGCTTATTTTTCATAGTTTTTGTTTTCTTTTTCTGTCTCGTTCAACTTGCTTAGGCAGTCGCTTGCCGTGTTGGTGGCCTTCCTGGTTTGAACCTCTTGCCAGACGATAAACACGACGAAGTAAAAATTGTTGGTGGAACCAACGAAGGAGCAGAACGAGTGGAACTTAGCACTTTGGCGAAGGTCGTGGGCGTGTTATTGGCAGGAAGTGTTGCTGCAGATCGTTTCAAGGTAGTAATTTGGCCATGATTTATATTTGTTTCATTTAGTCTGTTGTCTATAGGTGGATTATTCCGCTGCGCTTTCGTTTTCTTTTTGGTAGATTATTCCATTTCAATAGTAAGATTTTGATCGCATTGTTTGTAATGTGATGCATTCTGTTGAATACCTTCTACTCCGAAATTCTTGTCGCTGAGTCGTCCTTGTTTTTAGTGGTTGGGGAACGTGTATTCATAATTGTTTATTTCCACGGGTTTTAGGTAGTTTTTGTACTAAGTTCGAAGTAGATGTACAAAGTGCATGTGGTAGTAAATCTTTTTGGCTTTCAAAGAATGAAAACTTGCAGCGGAAATAAATGTAAATCTGTCTTTAGGAATTTTTCATTATCATTATTTCGTTATTCGTATTGCCTGCTTCCCAGTTGATGAGAAACATTTCGGCGAGGCAGAAAGCCATTGTAGAAACTTGTTTGTATGTGATTGAAGCATACACTTATACTCGAGTTCGTCAAAACTATGGAATGTGAAAGCAGAAGCCATTCACAGAAGGTCTTGTCATCATTGCTTGGACCGTCGTTGAAAGCCGTCCTCAAATCTTATTGTGGTATCTCTCCAGTACTATTGTGAATTTCATCCTCACTATGTGGATTCCAGCATTTCTTGTATCGGATCTTGCATTGTATTCGCTCTCTTTTCTCGCATTCCTCCTCCATAATGATCGTCGAACTTTTCGCATATTGCATAAAACGCCAGTCGAGTCGATCATCCTTGCAATCTTAGTGATTACCGAGCTGAGACATTTTCCGGGTGGACTGTGGGAGGTCGTTGGATAAGTGGTCGAACCAGACAGTACCTTTCTTCATGATGGACAACGCTGCTCACCACTGTGCTGCCCACTTTCCCATACGCAGAAATTTTATTGTTCCGGATGTCAGCTTCTCCGAGCGTTTATTACGCCTGAAAATTTCTCATATTTCGGCTTTTACTTTCTTTTATTGCATTGACCTATAAAAGCATGATATGAAGCTATGAAGAAGTGTAGAAGCACCTGTTTAGGTAAAATTTAAGTGTGGAGTCTTGGATTTTATGATCAGCACAGCATGCGTTAATGAAACTCTGGAACCTAAAATTTAGAAGTAGAACACCTTTGAAACCTTCCTATTAGAAAATGAGATATTTTCTACTCAAAAACCTGATAACTTCTTTTTTAACTTGGCCACTTTCGTTTCCACTCGCGCAAGATTTTTAAGTTCACGATGTGGTGTTTAGCGATTCTTCGAAATAACCTTTTTTTGACGAATATTTCGGAAAGTTATTCTCCTCTTTGAAGTCTACGTTTCTGTACTTTTAATTGAATCTTTCCGAGATTTTTGTTAAATTCCAATTTTATCACCTATTTTTTCAATTGCTGTAATTTCTAGGAGCAAAAGCGTGTTTTACGAAAAACGCGTTGGCTTTGATGAATTACCGAGAGACGCTCCATGCATTCGTCTTCATTGAGCATCGTTGGAGATGATTGGATGAATGCCTGACCTTTACAGTGATAAGTCGGATACCAAATTTCCGACCCCGTAGGAACAGAGGGCTTGGTGCGAGGTGATCGATCTCATGTGTATTGGAGGGTGGCTTCTACCTCTGCGCTATACGCTCCTCCGGAGTACATTACAACATTAAGATATATATTTTTTCGAACGTTGTTTGTGACCGATAAAGATTTGTACCACTGAAGTTAATGGCACTATAAAATGTTGGGCAATTATCACGAAAATGGAAACACTGACTTGATTCGTCGCTAGGGCACCATAAGTCTTGTTTAGATCATATATACATTCACTCAACTCTAGTATGCTCAATGGAGTTGAATGCATGACGCTTATTTATCAGCGACATCTCCTTATTATGACCAGAATAACACAGAAGGCTATGTCCTTCCTATACCTTATGTTGCATGAAAAGTATATTTTAATTCTGCAAATGAATTTGCAGTGAAACATGGCCATCTTTAAGATTACAGAGATTAGGTGTCCATCTGTTCGTAAGCAAAAACACTTTTTATTTCAGGTGCTAACTCCTGCTTAAAAATCCGTCCATTGGATTTTGCTTAAAAACGTTCACGTTGCTCCTCAGTGGCTTGGGAAGGTTGCACATGCTGAAACTGCATGCCATGCAGATATTTTTACTTATTTTATATTGGCTCATCAAACTATGCTACACTTTGTTTATCACGTATGAGAGAAAAGGGACCTCCGTTTACGAGCTTGTTCAGATCCATTAATCAAACGGCAATTACTAAGTTGGCTAGTAAAGTTTAGAAAAGGTAAACATATGTGCTTAGAAATGTGCTGAAGGGTTTCGTCCCTTATTCTACTTACATGGTGATCGTCGGCACTTGATAACTTCGTTGGCATTTGCTATGTCACCGGCTAGTTCTTCGAGGCGAACAACAAGCATGTAACGAAATGGAAAGCGGCGAAGTGTAGCGGTTCAGATTGATGTAGAATATTAGCCACGCGGGTCTTTTAGTTGTTG